CGCTACAGTGGTCACAAAGCCTCAAATTGCAGCTGATGGATAGTTCCCAACAGCATACTGCTCTAGAAATTCCCCCGTAAGCTTTAATCAACAAGTAAAAATGGATATCGTCTTCTATTCCAGCWAAACCTTCCTTGCTTCCCTCGAAGGCATGTTAGGAGAGCGAGGGAGAACGACAGCCAGAGCTAAACTCGTCGGAGCTTACTAGGTCATCCAGCTTCTTTGAAAGGAAATCAAAGTATGCCAGGATTTCAGTGTGYCAAGGCTCATAGCCATCTATGTACTGCCTGAAGCTACCGATTCTATATAGAGTATGACAATGAACGCTATAATATAGCGTAGTGCACCATKAACACTGACAAAAGCCACAATTGAACTATTGCGAATTTTTCATGAACGTGTTTTTTCCCAGGGCCTTCCACCATACAAAAATTCCGTAGAACATAATATGCTTGTCTTTGGTTCCATAGAGCCTATGAACTACCTTTTACCAATGACTGCTCCGCAGTAGTATAGCGCTATCGATGCTTTCTTTACACTTTCTTCGATGTTGGGTTTCGAAAGCTTTCTATCTAGAATAAGCCTTAGGTACTTAACTTTGTCAGCAGGCTGAAGACACGTTCCTTCTACGGAATTATACACTTCCCAGTGAATAAAACCMGTTCGGTCTTGCTTGGAATAATGGAAGGGCAATTATCAGCAGGTGATGTTTTTCCTCAACTATGAGAGCTAAGTCATCCGCTTAGGCAATCATCAGACAGCCGACTTCCTCAATCTTTTTAAGAAGATCATTAACAACCATGATCCAGAGATGTGGAGAAAGAACTCTCCTTGTAGGGTGTGCCTACTCACTTTACGTTGTGGCCACGCGCTACCTATTCCGCCATGGTCATTTGAAGATGAGCTTCTTAAGATTCGATTCAACCTTAAACTTATTCAAAGATCTAATGACCGCTTTCAGTAAAATAGTATATTTCTGAATGAACCATTCGACATTGGGTCGGGTGGCCACTGCAAAATCATTGTAAAAAAATAAGTATGGTGTGGTAGTTWAGTCTTTTGCAAGGAAAATAATTTATATTTATACTAAATAAAAGCATGCTTGAAAAATGCCAGACTTAATTCCAAAAAGCGGTCGAGGTATTACACGATAGGGATCATTGTACCATAAATATGCTAATGACAATTTAGTTCTCGGCATGTACCAACACTCGTCAGTTAAATATGTAAGTCYGTGCGCTTGTACCACTGTGCCCACGTAATTCATGTCTATATTTGCGGCARCCTAGGTAGTCCGTGTGGCAGAACCCATTAGTTACTATGAATATTTTTGTTGTTGGTTGGTGTTGCTGTTATTGTCGCGTGCTTTGAGCTATGCCAGCGTATTTATTTTGATGACTTGATTTAATATGTACCGTTGTCACCGCGCCATATCGTGTCATCGTGTCAACCGTACTTGCTGGCTGTCTGTCCACACTTCCGTCTGAGCCTCTAGCTAAACATTAATTCAATCGTGCGTCACATCGAACGAAGTTTGACGGCTTGCTACCAACTGCAACAACAATAACAAATATTTGGTGTCACCYGGTCGGGTAAATTGGTGTGCTCTTTCCTATATTTACACTCGTGTGGTGAAAGTGATATATTTACMCACACAGACATGTAAATATGTATGCAAGAGTAGATTTGGTAGTATTTTAGCTTGTGTCCTTTGATTTATTGAATTATGCTTTAACCCACGTAAATGTCTGTGTATATGTAAATATTTGATGTGTGTGTGTGCGTTGGTGTGTATTTTGCGCTTACAACCAGCATGTGTGGGCAATTAGTGTTRAATGTTATCAGGTGCCGAAGGTTTGAAAATTATATGTTTGATCTGCGTTAAGCTTAAGGGGATCACACATGTATGCATGTATTTGTTTTAGTGTATGTAAATATGTATGAATGCCGGTGTATAGACAAATATTTGTACAGTTAATAAACTGCCAAATGACAGTGATTTAATATTACTAGGGGTCATATCTTACATGTGAAATCTTTAATGAATAATAATTCCTATCTCCTGAGGCAATTAATAGGGAAAAGTGATGGTAAAATGTGCTATTTCATCAGTTAATCCCTATAAAAAGAAAACTAACTTTTCATGCTATCTTGCAATTTTTATTGTCTGACTGGTGCAAATCTTTCAAAGAGGATCGAAAGATCGTTGTCGCTCTGGACGACCTACGAGCCCTTCAACTATTAAAAATCATAAAAATATTATATATAATATTAAGSATATGGTGCTGGAAAATCATGCGGTGTTTGAGAGATGGCAAGAGAGTTCGACATCTCTCGCGAGTYCGGTCGAATGATTTTGATGGATATTTTACGTATGAAACGCGTTCTTGCTCGACTCCTCCCGATAAAGCTGAATTGTTTTTTTGAATAGTACCTTAAGCAGGTCACTCTGGACATTTTTGATCGTACGTAAGAATTCATGGAGAACATTATAACTACCGATGAGTCTTGGGTTAATACGTTTGAGATGTAAACAAGTCCACAATCATCGGAATGGAACTAGTTTTCCATCGACAGAAGTTTGTTTCGAAGACAACGAAACATTTTCGGCATAAATGTTTTAAATATGGTGGGGATTGCATTGAAGGAGATAAAGTATGTATTTACTTACAATTTCCGGGCACTTTTTGTCAAAATGTATATACGAAGTACATATATTTGAGAATTCTCTCCTAATATTTTAAGTGAATTCGGTAGATAGTTTCAGAGATATGCGGTCTTTGTACGAATTTCTAATTATGAAGAAAATTTCCTTAAAATGACTAGATCGATTGGGTTGTAATTCGCAAACCCTCCTCGACATATTTGTCAGAAATAATCGAAAAAAAAACAAATTTTAACAATTTTTTTACACAAAAAACAAAAAAAAAACGTCTTTTTGAAGTTTCGATAATCACTTCTTTTATCCAATGACAGCTTTTTTACTTGAGAAAATCAGAAGGAATTATATCCTCACATCAGTGGCTTTGTCGCGCAGAAAATTTTAAGTTTGAAGAATTCTAAACGAACTTAAAATACGGGAAGACAATAATTTTTCCTTTCCGAAAGACAATTTAGTTCAAGAAAAGAGATAAAGTGACAAGCTGATTTGTGTGGTTTGCATTTTCTTCCAATTATCTATTATAATTATGTTCGCAGCATCTCCCATTCGAACTATTTCATGAAGAGTACAACGCTACATGCAAAATCATATAACGTTTTAAGATTGATTCATAAGGTCAATAAAAGGCCAATTATCTGCGGAACAGGCCAAGAAACAGTATTCAAGGAATAAACCTTACAAAACTAATTTAAACAAAAAAAGAAAACATAGCATTTAAATGKAAAGGACTGATTAATCTGCAGCAATACCGGTTGGAATATAATGAGATTGAAGAAATACTGATAACATTGTGAATTCACTGATTAAAAGGGAAGTTCGAGAAGTGAAGTAATCAAGTAATATACTAGTATTTATAAACAAAASTTCCATAATATTTCTCTTTCACTTAATTCTAAATATTTTTTCAGCTATATCTCTCTTTGAAATTGCCATAGACCAATTTTAATGGCGTTCTCTGCTGACAGTATTTTTAGAGACCAACTGTTTTAAGCTTCGGTTCATTTTGAAAGAAATTTTGAACCAACTGTTCTCCGATACGTGATATGGACAGCTGTGCACCAATGATCAGGCCTACTTMTTTAATAGCCAAGACTTCCACCACTTCCACTTACTGAATATGACATATGAGAATATTTTAAACGTGATCATAAYATCGTTGGCTTTATTTTTCCTTTAATAAATGATTTTGGTTAGGTTTGTCAGAAAAATATGAAATTCCAATGGCATTTTTACTTAAAACGCTAAGCTTTGAACAGCCATTCATGAGGAATRTTAGGAAACGGATAGGTTTATATACTATAAAAAGAAAATATTTTAAAGCGAGATGAATATGTACTAAGAATATTGTTTATATAAGATTGGGTTCTATGAACCAAAAAKTAAATTTAAATTCATGTTAAAAGTTTAGCTTCTTAATGCCAAAAAAGAAATTATAATATTTGTAGAGAKCTCCATTAGTAAATTTGGCAAAAMCCGTATATCACTTCTTTGGGCATAAAAYACTTCTTCTCTATTTTTCCTTCTTTGCAAAAACGTATCGATATTAATATATCAACCAAAACAAACTGCATTATGAACACCTCACTTCACAAAACTATTTAATGGGTTTAAATTCAAATATACCCAAAAATTAATATGATATAAATATGCTCCACATGTGTACTTCATTTGAACAGCTAACTTTCGTGCAGCATACTCATGCCAACCACCCAGCAACGCAGTCAACCGACCAGCTGTCCCACCTGTCGCATCGGTTAGCCATCGACATTGCTGCATTAATGTCACAAATTCAAAAGCTGCAATTCAGCAACTGAATTTGGTGCATATTCATACTAACAGCAACAACTAGTTGCACGAGCCATGTGTGTTGCTATTTGTTTTGACGTCTATATTTGCTCAAACCTGAGTCTGCACCGCTAGTTCGTGGTCTGTGAGTATGTGTGTGCGTGAATGTGGAATGTGTGTTTCATAGACATAATGAAAATGACAATTTTCGGTTTGTGATAAACAACAATAACCACACACGAATGCTGACACTTTAATGAAAATGCACTGACATCGAAAGTTAACTGCRCATTTTCGAATTTCGGAACACAGTCGACGCTACATTTATTGACACGCGCCGACTTGATTATAGACAAAACATTGAATATGTAAATTGATTTTAGTTTATAATTTTTCCCTTTCTGCCGTGTCATCGCTGATTTAGTTTGAAAAGTTGGTGAAGTCATATTGATATGATTTATTTAGTTCTTCTGAACATAGACTGGCAGCTGAATTACTGTGCAAAAATGTTAAACAAGTACATATATTTGACATTACTAATTATTATTATTTTGCAATGAAACAATAATAAACTCGCCTACGCCTTAACCACATCCGCATCAGTTGGTTTCTTAGTTGARCAAAAACTGGTGATCAGCATTCCGAACACCACCGCAAGTATGACAATATCCACAGCCAACAATAGTTGCATCAGCGTGAGCATGGCATTAACAATGCGTCTCTCCATGGCCACTGTAATGAGGGAATAAGCGTTTATATAAMAACTAGTAATATTAATAATTTACTTATCTCACCTTCTGTAACCATTAAGTTGACTCGTTCAACATTGTAAGGCGCCATTTCTTGCTCATTTGGCACTTTTACTACGCCGAAACTCTTCGCCAACACTGATTGTTGCCACTGAGACGTTACACGAACCAGAAGTTTTTGCCACATCACATATAGKCCCGTACGATTTGAATTGGCTTGGSTTTCAAGGCACGGTCTTGGCGCCGGTTTCATCCTCTCAATTAAAATAAACGGTTGGGATTGTGTATTCTGCGTGTCAAGGAGAATTTTGTGATATACATAAAGTAGTAATTTAATAATATATACAATATAATAGGTGATCATACTTAAAGTTTTTGCGAGCTGTTGCTCTAGTACTTACCGCCATTSGCTCAGCTAACACCGCCGTCACAATGGTTATGACAAGAAAAATTCTCAAGATGCATTCTTTATTGCTTAATATGTTGAACATTTTGCTTTCAAAGTAAAATAAATTCAAAATGTAAGATGAATAATAAAATCTGGTAAATAAATTTTAAACGAAATTTATTAAACAGTGGTCGACATTTGTTAAACTACACTCTACTCTGCTCTCTCTTTAAGCGATTCACTCCAACTTGGCACACCAAATAGGTAAAAAGAAACTGAGAAAATAGACGCTTCTTCAATTTTTATTAACCCGAATATTCTGAAATTAATAAATACTGTTTTGCCAGAGAGTAACTGTTAGTGTGTGATTGGCAGCTGTTTATTTGTGATGCGCAAGTTTTGTCTGAAAATGAATTTGCTTTGAATTTTGTGTTTCCAATTTCTTTGAAAATGTTGCAGAARTATTTTGGGGAGTCTATTTTAACACGAAAATCACATATATATTTGAGTGGCATATTCGGTGAATGTTATGAAGTCTCATTCGTCTTTGTTAATGACGATAGCATCAAAAAAGATTAAAAAACAGTAATTGAAAACAGTCGTCTTAACAACAGATAGATTACGTAGGATCTCACCAATGCATCTACTCAACACACTATGATTAATGTTTTGGGTATGAAGCCTGCCATATGCATTCCAAACAAGAAAAAAAACGTTAATTCGGTTGCACCGAAGCTAAATACCCTTCACAGGTGCACTGTTAGTAACTATGCGTTCAGTTTGTATAGAAGCTATGTGCTATAGTAATCCGTTCTGAACAATTTTTTTGGAGATTATATTGTTACCTTAAGCAGTAATCCATGCCAAATTTCGTGACAATACGACGTCAAATGCGAAACTTTTCCATACAAGCCCTTGATTCCGATCGTTCGGCTTGTATGGCAGCTGTATGCTATAGTGAGCCGATCTGAACAATTTCCTCGGAGATTAAATTATTCCTATAAATAATAACTCATATCATATTTCGGATATATTGTAAGGTGAAGAAGTCACCCATGGAAGCATTTGATTCCGATCATTCAGTTTCTATGGCAGCTATATGCTATAGTTAACCGATCTGAACAATTTCTTCGGAGATTACATAGTTGGCTTATAAAATAATGTGTACCAAATTTCGTGAATACTATATCTTGTCAAATGTAAATTTTTCCATACAAGAACTTGATTTCGATCGTTCAGTTTGTATGGCAGCTATATGTTATAGTGGTCCGACATCAGCAGTCGACAAATGAGCAGCTTCTTGAAGAGAAAATGACGTTTGCAAAATTTGAAAAAGATATCTTAAAAACCTGAGGGACTAGTTCGTATATATACAAACAGGCGCACAGACAGACGGACATGGCTAAATTGACTCAGCTCGACATACTGATCATTTATACTTATACTTTATAGGGTCTCTGAGACCTTCCTTATGGGTGTTACAAACTTCGCGACAAACTTAATATAACCTGTAACGTCGATTAGAGCGAGTTCTCTTTATGCTTGATAATTCAGCTGAGGAGCCCACATTCATCAAATGCAGCATTGCTGATAGCAGGATGTAAGTTTTTGCACATGACCTCGAAACTTCACATTAATTTAACGCCCCTAAATACTGACCGACAACTCAGCCGAGGCTTATGAAAGATTGGCGCTAAGGTTGGCATTTTTTCTGTGCATAAAAAGTTTTTGAAGGCGATAATTTTTAGTAAGGTGTTACATGCGTTTACGGGCTTCAAAAAATTGAAATCAGAATATTGTCCCAAATTWTCAAGTTAATTCGTATAATACTCGTAGAAGTTAGCTAGACTAAGTGCGCCATCTTTAAACTCGTTTTTCTTGAAACTGTGTTTTTGAAGTCAGTTGACAAGATTTCTCGAGATTTATTCAACCGATCTTTATGAAATTTTACACAGACCTTTGAGATAAACTCTTAAAAACTTGGATGAAGGTTTTTTTTACTATTTCAATAAAAAAATGTCGCGAAATTTTCATTTTTTATAAAAATGTCTGCCAAAAATCCAATTTTCACATTTTTTTCCTTTTTCCAAATTTGAAGTTAAGGTTTTAACTAACAGATGTATATTTTCACTTTAAATGATCCTTAAATTAAATATCCTGCCTGAGCGGGCGCATCTCTTTTCCGAGGGTTCACCGGAAATGGCCGAGAATAAAATATTTATTTTCAAAAGGATTTTTTTCAGGATTTCTTTGTTAAAAGTGTATGTTTGTAAAACTTCTAATAAAAATATTTAATTTTTTATATGAGAAAAAATGTGTTGAAAGATGGTTGTTTCTTACCCAAGGAAAGCGA